TTTACCACAAGATTGAACAGTAAAATTATTCTTATAAACTTGGTTTAAGTTACTTGTAAGTGTATAGCATGTGACATGAAAAGCGTGGTTCAAGGAATTTTGTTTTATGGAAATCGTAGAGTTAATATATTTGATTATATATAGAGAAAAAAAAAGGCTTAAGAAACCAGCTTATTCTGAATAAATACTAGATTTTTATGTTTACATTCGTTGGTTAGTTTCAATTAGTTTTGTTAACAGATTATTTCAAGGGACAAACTAAGTGAACTGCTTATTGCTCGTGAAATATAAAGCTGTATATTTACCGTTTTAAAATAATTGTTTCATCTTTAAGAGAGCTTTCTAGTTTTCTCTACATGTATGGCCCGTCATGGCCAGGTGGTTAGGGCGCTCGACTCGGGTCGCGAGTTCGAATCCCCGTCCCACCAAACAAGCTCGCCCGTTCAGCCGTGGGGGCGTTATAATGTGACGGTCAATCCCACTATTCGTTGGTAAAAGAGCAGCCCAAGAGTTGACGGTTGGTGATGATGACTAATTGGCTTCCCTTTAGTATTACACTACCAAATTAGGGACGGCTAGCGCAGATAGCCATCGTGTAGCTTCGCGCGAAATTCAAACCAAACCAATCTCTATATGTATTTTCTGTCTACACTTTGCTAACGTACATAGTGTAATTATAATATTTTATAACGTACATAGTGTAATAATAATATTTGGTAACGTACATAATGTACTAATATTATTTGGTGACGTACATAGTGTAATAATAATATTTTATAAGGTACATAGTGTACTAATAATATTTGGTAACGTACATAGTGTAATAATAATATTTTATAAGGTACATAGTGTAATAATAATACTTGGTAACGTACATAATGTACTAATATTATTTGGTAACGTACATAGTGTAATAATATTTTATAAAAGTACATAGTTTACTAATATTATTTGGTAACGTACATAATGTACTAATATTATTTTATAACGTACATAATGTATTAATAATATTTGGTAACGTACATATTGTATTAATAATATTTGGTAACGTACATAATGTACTAATAATATTTGGTAACGTAAATAATGTATTAATAATATTTGGTAACGTACATAATGTACTAATGATATTTTATAACGTACATAATGTACTAATAATATTTGGTAACGTACATATTGTATTAATAATATTTGGTAACGTACATAGTGTACTAATAACTAACAGTTCCTGAAATTGAATGCTCCGATCTTTATTACATTGATGACTTAAGATTAGTTGGTTTCAGTATTAACTATTCTTGCTAACCTTATCTATCTGTTTTTTGTGTTTGTTTGGGAAGAAAGGTGCGAGAAAAAAAATGTATAGTTTTCAGTAGTTTGGCGCTAAGACTAGAGGCTTATGACACTAAAAATTGGGTTTCGATAGCCGTGGTGGGCACAGCACAGAAAGCCACCCCCAGACAACTAAGTATAATCAGAATCTCTATTTCCTATGAAGCTCGAACTCAATTCTTGAGTATAGAAATTGAGTTAACAAAATCTTCACGTGATATAAAGGTAACTCCAGGTCAAGCAACAATCGTTTGCAATGCCATTTCACTTATTGCACATCTCCGTTAGAAACCAGTAAGCTATCCAAATAAATACTAGGCGAAAAATCGAATCGATTATTTCTAGTTAATCGTATTTATTTGTTTTGTGCAAAGGAATTTCAACAATTGTTTGTCTGAAGACAAAGCAACGTAGCGGGAATGAAGGTCTCAAGCTTCTGATTAGTTTGTTTGTTTTTGAATTTCGCGCAAAGCTACACGAGGGCTATCTGCGCTAGCCGTCCCTAATTTAGCAGTGTAAGACTAGAGGGAAGGCAACTAGTCATCACCATCCACCGCCAACTCTTGGGCTACTCTTTTACCAACGAATAGTGGGATTGACTGTCACATTATAATGCCCCCACGGCTGAAAGGACGAGCATGTTTGGTGTGACAGGGATTCAAACCCGCGACCTTCAGATTGCGATTTGAGTGCCTTAACCACCTGGCCATGCCGGGCCCTTCTGATTAGACCGTGCAATGTCGCATTAGTGGGCGATAAAAGTTCTAACTATTAACAAAGCCAGATATGAGGTCTGTAAAATTAAGTGTTCATAGGACACAATTTCATCTCATTAAGTAAAGATCGACATATATGTTCATTCACACGTAAGTTTGGGTTTTAAAATATTTGTCTTCTCTTTTTTTCTTTATCTTTTCGGGTTTGGTACACAATAATATGTAAAAAAAAAAATATGCAATTTTCAATATTTATATTGTTTTACTCTTTGTAAGCACCGACCAAATTCTTGGAATCAAATTGGGTTAGAAGTATACATATATTTGATACTTATATGATGCTTATCATATCATTAGTTATTCTAGCTTTTAGACATGTGAAATCTCCATACAACAGCCATCTGTCTCTGCATTCAAGTACAAAATATATTGTCCAAACACGAGAATTAAATCGAGCTGTATCATTGAACTCGTGATACCAACGGTGCATAAGCATCACAGTGTTTAAATGCTATTGTTTGCCTACAGTTCCTCGCTTCATACTGACTGTAATGATAACATCACAGTGTTTATATGCTCTTGTTTGCCTACAGTTACTCGCTTCATACTGACTGTAATGATAACATCACAGTGTTTAAATGATCTTGTTTGTCTACAGTTCCTCGCTTCATACTGACTGTAATGATAACATCACAGTGTTTATATGCTCTTGTTTGTCTACAGTTCCTCGCTTCATACTGACTGTAATGATAACACCACAGTGTTTATATGCTCTTGTTTGTCTACAGTTCCTCGCTTCATACTGACTGTAATGATAACATCACAGTGTTTATATGCTCTTGTTTGTCTACAGTTCCTCGCTTCATACTGACTGTAATGATAACATCACAGTGTTTAAATGATCTTGTTTGTCTACAGTTCCTCGCTTCATACTGACTGTAATGATAACATCACAGTGTTTATATGCTCTTGTTTGTCTACAGTTCCTCGCTTCATATAGACTGTAATGATATTTGCACAATATTTTCTGGTCGTTATATATGCACACTTCCTGTTACGTTTACAAAAAACAATTAATTGGAACTGATGACAGTTATTTGCAGTAGTAAAAGCGTCCATCATTTATGGTCATCTCAGAATTTTTCTACTTCGATGGGAATATATTCCCTAACCCTTAGTCATTTAACCCTTCTTTATTTCAAGACCCTCCAGATGCAAAGCGGTGTGTCTGCGGACTTACAACGCTAGAAAGCGGTTTTCGATACCCGTGGTGGGCAGAACACAGATAGCTCATTTGTGCTTAACTTCAAACAAACAAACTTAGTGAAACAATAAATAACTCGTTTAGGGACTATCTTTTACGTTAAACTATATATATAAGATGTACTCAGGGGTTCGAATCGTAACAGCAAGAGACATAGAGGTTGAAAGTTATTAGCTCATACTAAACGTCACTTCTTTGTTGTTTAAGGCTTAGCTCATAGTAAACATGGCCTCTTTGTTGTTTAAGGCTTTTTTTTTTATTCCTCTAAACTCCCAGTGGAGCATAGGGCCGCTACAACACCTCGCCAACGGAAGGTGTTGTTGCAGTAACAGGTTGGTTTTTACGGGGTGAGTTGCTAACCCCGCGCCCAACCCTCCTCCTTTCTCATCCTGGACTTGGGACCAGGCAAAGGCGGAGGTTGGCATGTTTGGTGCGACGGGGATTCGAACCCGCGACCCTCAGATTACGAGTCGAGCGCCCTAACCATTTGGCCATGCCGGGCCTTGTTGTTTAAGGCTTAGCTCATACTAAACATGGCCTCTTTGTTGTTTCAGGCTTAGCTCATACTAAACATGGCCTCTTTGTTGTTTCAGGCTTAGCTCATACTAAACATGGCCTCTTTGTTGTTTAAGGCTTAGTTCATACTAAACATGGCCTCTTTGTTGTTTAAGGCTTAGCTCATACTAAACATGGCCTCTTTGTTGTTTCAGGCTTAGCTCATACTAAACATGGCCTCTTTGTTGTTTAAGGCTTAGTTCATACTAAACATGGCCTCTTTGTTGTTTAAGGCTTAGCTCATACTAAACATTGCCTTTTTGTTGTTTAAGGCTCTCTGATTTTCATTTCCTTAGAAATTAAGATTTCTTTGTTTGTTGAAAGCTACTCGAAGGATATATACGCTAGGCAGTCCCTAATTTAGAAGTGATACATTAGAGAGAAGGCGGCTAGTCAACACCATCTACCGTCAGTTCTTGGGATACTCTTTTCCAACGAATAGTGGGATTTATCATACATTATAGCGCTCCGACGGCTGAAAGGGCGAGTATGTTCGGTGACGGGATTCGAACCCATGATCCGCAGGTTGTGAGGCGAGTAAAACTAAGACACTTTAGTTTGTAAATGTATTCATAGAAGTCCAGTTGTGTGTGTTGGAGGTATCAAAAACGTGTAATATAGTGTTATAAAGACTGCATTTACATTAAAACATCGAAGGTAATATTTATTGGATTATACTTGACGTTTGGACTACCTAAAATACCATTAGGTTATCCTACTTAACCTTTGGACTACCTGAAATAGCGTTAAAGTATCATACTTAGCCTTTGGAGTACCTAAAATACCATTAGGTTATCATACTTAACCTTTGGACTACCTAAAATACCATTAGGTTATCATACTTAACCTTTGGACTACCTAAAATACCACTAGGTTATCATACTTAACCTTTGGACTACCTAAAATAGCGTTAGATTATCATACTTAACCTTTGGATTACCTAAAATAGGGTTAGATGATCATACTTAACCTTTGGACTACCTAAAATAGGGTTAGATTATCTTTCTTGCCTGATGTGAATCCTATTACTCACCGTTAAAAGAAAACTCTTAGGAATTTCTTAATGATTTTGAAGAAAACTACACATTATTTATTGTAATTACAATAGGAAAAAAATCAATTAACATTTGATGTCTGTTTACAGAGGAAGACCATGAAGAGAAGACGCCATGGCTCATAATGGAAACCGTCTGCGTCACGATTCTGCCGCAGCTGTTAGATGTGAACAACGTGCCTTGGTTTGTTTCACCTTAGGGTCAACCATAGCAGTCATATTATGGATTATCGCTATGAGTACCGACTACTGGTTCACAGTATCCTCACCTGACAGTGGCGGCCTCTATGTCAATAAGACGAGAATTATTTTTTTATACAGTCACTCGGGGCTCTGGCGAATTTGTAGAACACAAATAATAAATAAAACATCCGAAAATGATCCAGTATCTAAAAGTGAGTGTTTTTATTTTCAGTATTTCAGATACCAGTTTATAGTTTTAGTTGTTATGCTCTATGAAGGAAGTTAATTGAAATGACACTTAATTTCGTATTCTTCAAGTGGCTGTTTCTGGAACTAAGAAACACCTCCTGTGTGTTAGCATTTTAATTTTTCAACTTACTAATATGTAAGCCACTTGTTAATATATTTACAGGTTCTCAAACGTGTAAGTAAAGTTTGTATTGGAATCAACATTTGGTTTTAAATAGTTTCTTTCTTTTAAAATACAATTTTAAACTGTCTCTTCAGACAAAGTTTTTCTTTCTGTTACCATTGTTGCTGTTTGATCTGTTAGCCAACACCTTCCCCAGCTAATGATTTTATTCTTAATAGTGGGGTTTAAACGTGTATAATGTACTTTTTGGTATGTGTGTACTGGGTGAACGTTTGACTGGGTCTGATAATTTTTAGTACATGCGTAGAATATGTCTGCTGAGTGATGGTCAGCTTTAAGATTTGGCAATATTGAGCGTCCTATTTATTGTTGTTTGTTTTTTTAATTTCGCTCAAAGCTACACCAGGGCTATCTGCGCTAGCCGTCCCTAATTTAGTAGTGTAAGACTAGAGGGAAAGCAGCTAGTCATCACCACCCACCGCCAACTCTTGGCCTACTCTTTTACCAATGAATAGTGGGATTGACCGTCACATTATAATGTCCCCACGGTTGAAAGGACTAACATGTTTGGTGGGACGGGGATTCGAACCCGCGACCCTCAGCAATTTTAACATGTCTGGCAAAGATCAGCAAATTTCAAGGATATCGCAATAAGTGAATCCCATTTTCTCTTCACACAATGTTTCGATAAACGCGTAAAAATCCAAACTTTGTTTCTGCGTTTGTAATTTTGTTTTGGTTACCTAAACTCTGAGAAACGATAAAAAAACCAAACAAAAAACGTTGCGGTAATTTTTGATAAGGAATAATACATATACATTCTTTTAAATATGATTTTCGATCTCAGTTAATATAATTTTTATTGTTTGTTTTTTCTAATTAAGCACAAAGCTACACGATGGGCTACCTGTGCTCTGCCTATCACGGGTATCGAAACCCGGTTTCTAGCGTTGTAAGTCCGCAGACAAACTGCTGTGCCACTAGAAAGCACTTTTTATTGTCTAGTGATATAGTCAATATACGTTTATAACCAAAATGGCTATTTTAGAAAGATATGCTCGTTATGGCATTTACTAATTAGAAACTTATCACATAAATGTACCTGTACTTTGTCAAAATTACTTGATTAACTCACCCTAATTAATAATGGGCATTCTATTATCAGCAACCTCTGATCAAAACAAGTTAACTAAATAGATCAGAACTAATAATTAGCGTAATAAACAACGTAACTTTTTTTTTATACACAGGTCTCTCTGTGTGGGTTATCTGCTGTGTCCACCGAAGAGAATCGAACCCCTAATTGTGGCGTTGCAAATCCGATGGCTTACCCCTGTCCCACCAGGGGGCTATACAGGTCTAACTACTAGTAGTAGTAGTAATATTGTAATAGAAAAACTCGTTCTTGATGGTGGTGGTCTTAGAAATAAGCCACACTGAGCTATCTGCTCTGTCCACCGCGAGGAATAGAGCCTCGGATTTCAGTGCTGTAAGTCCGTGAACTTACCAATGCCTCACCAGTTGTCACAGTTGTCTTAGTGCTTCAAGAAAATTTTAAAGGTATGCCATTGCCACAACTAGCCATGGTTGGCATGAGTGTACGACACATTTCCATCCACGCTTCACACCCGAATCCAATGTAAGTAATGCGCTGAAAAACGAAACTTTATATCTGTCAAAACAATGTTTCATCAGCGACTTTAACGACGTCTCATAACCACACGAAAGCCTATCTACTAAATGCATATGGCCAGGTGGTTAGGGCGCTTAACTCGCAATCTGATGGTCGCAGGTCCGAATTTCCGTCTAACCAAACATGCTCGCCCTTACAGCTATGGGGGCGTTATAATGTGACGGTCAATTCCACTATTCTTTGGTAAAAGAGTAGCCCCAAAGGTGACTGTGGGTGGTGATGACTAGCTGCCTTCTCTCTAGTCTTTCACTGCTAAATTAGGGACGGCGAGCGTAGATAGCCCTCGTGTTGCTTTGCGCGAAATTAAAAAAACAAAAAACAAAGCAGTTGTGGGAAAGTGGTCGCTCTTGGTTCATCAGAATATAATAAAAAATATATAAAGTAGGTTACCATCTACAGCGTGAAATCTAAGCTTATCGTTATTTGTTTAAAGTCAAGCATAAAGTAATACAATGGGCTATCGGTGGTCTGCTCATCACGGGTATCGAAACCCTAATTTTAGCGTCGTAATTCTCTAAATATATCGTTATTTTTTGTTTGTTTGAAGTTAAGCATAAAGCAACACAATGGGTTATCGGGGCTCTGCCCACCACGGGTATCGAAACCCGGATTTTAGCGTCGTAATTCTGTAAAGAAAATTTGGGAGTGGAGTGCAAAAACTTAAAGATTAAATGCTGATAACTTAATGGCTAATGACTTTCATGTAACATGTTAAAGAAAAAAAAACGTTAATCAATATCTGCGGACTTACAACGCTGGAATCCGTGTTTCGATACCCATGATGTTCGGGATAGCCCTCTTCCTTTGTGTAACTACTGTGTTTAGTTTCAGTTTAATAAGTCTTATTGTTACATAATCCTATTTATCGTTTATATTGGTTTAACATTCTAGATCTTTATTCTACGATAAATCCCGTTATTGTATTGCTCTGAATTGGTAGTTTTGTAAATGATCATTATCGGAATAAAGCTCCATCTATGAATAAAAAAAGTAATTGAAAATTGGTAAAAGCCAGATTTACACCAAGGACAATATTACACTTTTTATTTCTCATTATACATAAATATATATACGTAATATACCAGAGAAAGTATAAAAAAAATAATCAATTATTTCTCTGCCACAAAGAGAAAAAAAAACGCATAGTTTTATTCTGCCTTTTATTCTCTTTTCTAAGAATCATTGAAATTATGTGACTTTCCAATATTAAAAGGAAGGAAAAAAAAGAGGATTTTGGAGTGAGCTTTGATTAGTTTTGTAGCAATAATTTTGCGTTTGAAAAGAAAAGTTATGCGACAGCGTGAACTCATTTTAAGGATTTCTAAGTCTTAGTGAAATCATAAGTTTTCAGATAATATTCTTATTCGGACGATAATCCTATCATATTTAGTCGGAACACGTAGAAGTTTCCAGTAATAACAATATTAAAAATAAAGACTTTGTTCACGAGAAGAACGAGAATCCATGAAAATATTATACAAATTTATCAAAGTATTTGACGTTGTAGGTTTCCAAAGAAAAAGCTTTACAGGGTGATACAAAAAATATTTGAAATTATTATATCTTAAAAATTACTTATGTTAGATGGGTCTGATCTAAATGTCACCAGTGGCACAGGTGTAGCATGGCCAGGTGGTTATGGTGCTCGACTCGCAAGCTGTGGGTCGCGGGTTCGAATCCCCGTCCCACCAAACATGCTCGCCCTTTCAGCCGTGGGGACGTTATAATGTGACGGTCAATCTCCCTATTCGTTGGGAAAAGAGTAGTTGGCGGTGGGTGGTGATGAGTAGCTGCCTTCCCTCTAGTCTTACACTGTTAAATTAGGGACGGCTAGCACAGATAGCCCTCGTGTAGCTTTGCGCAAAATCCATAACAAACAAACAAACAAGTGACACAGGGAGAATCGTTCGTTTTTCAGAAAAGTTTGGACGTGGTAAAGGGCGTTTTACAAAAGGTGTACACTGTACTTTCTGTCATTGATAAACAGATTATCAAGTCAATTGCTAAATCAAGGCCCCCTTGTGGAACAGCGGTATGTCTGCGGACTTACAACGCTAGAATCCGGGTTTCGATACCCGTGGTGGGCAGAGCACAGATAGCCCATTGCGTAGCTTTGTGCTTAATTACAAACAACAACAATTGCTAAATTAGGCTAATGTGACTATTATCTGTTATTATCAGTGTTCATTGATTATCCTGCACCCTGACGTGCGTTCTGTATAAATAACACAGACCTGCGAATTTAAACTTCTTTAAATACCCCTTGAGATGGTCTCTCCCCCTTCCTTAAGGGGGAACACAAAAACAAAGCCAAAATGATACAAATTCCTAAGGAATAAATTTCAGAGAAGTTGTTTTGGTTTTAATAACGGATTTTCCATAATTCAGCTACGCAGATTTCGAAAATAATATTCCTTATTTTTTCTATCACGTAAGGATTTTTTTACAAATCGGGAATTTGAAAAAAAACTCTTACTTAGATCAAACTATTATTTCGTTTACCACAATGAACATTTTTTATTATTATGTTTGTTAACAAAAATAGAAACAAACTGAAGAAAAGGGAAGAATATTGATGTCAAACGAATATGCATCCTCGTTCATCTTGATTGTTTTTTTTTTTTGTGAAATCTACATCTTTTAGTCTCAAAACTACGTGTTCTAGTCGTTCTTTCATGTATTGCATTATGACGTTTTGTGAAAAATCTGTACGTGATGGAGAACAATGGATATCATTTTCGGATTCAGCGTACAGGAATTACTGTAGAACATGTAAAGATTTCAAGACAATAAACATTACAGGCCTCTGTTATCAATCTCGTATTGTTGAAAGAGAGAGAGACGAGAGAAGAAATAAAAGCCACGCTAGTTTGTGAGAAAATTGATTCACGTTTATTATACAATATACATTTAAAGCTCAATGTGCCAATGGTGAAGTTTTGTTCCATAATTATGGAACAAGCAATTTTTAAGATTCAGTCATTCTAAATAAAAAAAATTTTTATAATCCAGTAGAATTCATATTAATATACAGTTTCCATGTGATGTAGTGTTTCATTACAGTTTTTGCGTGTATAAGAAAAACCATTTATGAAAGCGCCGTATGGTTGGTCTGCCGACGTTCGTTCAACCTTGACTCGTAACAT